CATAATAAAATGTGTCCCTGTAAAGAGTTGGACATATACCCTTATAATCCATGTCAGTATCTTCTCTCTGCTGTGTGTAGCTCTCAGGTTTTCATGCCTGCCTGCTTCAGGTGGGTCTGTATACTGACAGCTAATCTGATTTCTGTGCTGCTTCCTCTCTCCCCCCCATTCTCAGGGAGCAGTCTCATCTATTGCCAGTGAATCTGTGTGATGGGTGTGAAACCGTAGAGGCACCCTGCAAAAGAATTATGCTACTTTGCTGTGATCTGTCTGCTAGACAGCAGCAGTGTCATGTCAGTCCAGCAGTTTTGTTATGGTTTAGTCCCCCTCACCTGGAGGGTTAGGGAGAACTGGGGTTGGACTCAAGATGGCTGACCCAGGTGCTAGTACAAAAAAGGTGGTTTAATGGAATAAAAACAACAAAATGACAACATAACAGGGTCCATAATACATACAACCAGGGAAGGGCAGTGATGACTAAGGAGACCAGGACGAACAGGTAAACACACAAACTAACGGCAGGAACTAGGATAGCAGAGGATGAGAACGGACAGGTGAACAAAAAGAACCAACGTACACAATGTAATCCACAGGTATAAATAAGGAAGCCAACAAATCACTGGAATACGCCTCAGGTGTGCGCACTGACCCATGAGTGACTAATAACCCAATGCGACACAGCTGAGGCGTTGATCCCGCAAAAAGGGAGAGCAGGAGAGGAAAAAAAAGAAAGAGAGGCAGGTCGCGCCGAGCGGACCTGACAAGTTTGGGATATTTCTGTCAGTATATTTAAGTTGCAGGACACTTTATTCTATTTTCAGTTGTTTGAATGAGCACGACAGCTAAATATTTTAGCATGTTGTTATTTGCTGCAGTTTTGCCATTGTTTTCAGTGTGTTAATTCCTTATTTGTTCCTTGTTCCCACTTTCATAACCTTGCAGAGGGCACATCATTTTCATATCTAGAGTTTCAACAATAGTTTGTTTTGTTTCATTGTGTTTCTTGTAATTAGTTGTCCTGTAGTCACAGTATCGACATTTTCCACTCTCTTATTCCAGATTTTTTTGACTTGCTTCAGGGTCTCTCACAGGGTCTCTCGCTGTGTTTAATCTCCGCCCTGCTCTGCAGCCTGAATGTCACAGTTGGCTGAGCTGCAGATCACATTGAATTGGAACGAGGAGAGATCGCATTGCTTTGCCTCTTTGCCAGTCATTTCTGTCTTTCACTCTTCATATTTCCACACTCTGCCATCGCCGTTGTTATCCA